TGCAGTTCCATTTCCACTGACTATCAACGTCAGTTACGATTTTCTAAACCAGTCCTGGGTCTCCCCAAGATTGGCGCAGCCTGAAACGAGTACCTAATGTGATGATTGCTAATAGCAATTTCTGCAAAAATCTGTTAAGGCTTCATGGGGGACCTTTGTCTTTGTCTGCCTCGTGTGTAGGTCCTGGTGTGCCTCCTGGGTTTGCGTGGGATACTGCTCCCTGCAAGGATCAATACTTTGGTGAGTTGCAGCGGAGGGTGATAGCTCATCATGTTTGTGTCCTTAGGACCATCTGCCACTCGAAAAGCCAAAACAAATTGAATGGCCACATGCACAAGCTTTGAAACGACACACCAATTATGGTCGTTTAAACTCAACCACTGGGACACGTTGAAGAGAAATCCTCACAACAACCAAATTTGCCAACGAGATAATGACGCTTCGCTCGACACTGCATCAAACATTCAGAAGACGAGATCATAAGCCACCATCAAACGCTTATACAACACGTCATGACCATTTGTTTTGTTTGGCTGCGTAGGATGGTGGAGGGTATTACGATGCAAAATTGGACAGATCTTGGCCCGACGAAAAAAATATTAATAGATCATGAATTATTTCCGACCAACCATGCCTTATGATATATAATGCACCATTGTGATTCACGTTGGTTGTCGGGGCTATAGGTTTCAAGCGGTAAATATGAATTGTGAATTAAAATTAAAGTTAATAAAACCTATGTATTGATCCTATAGGGTTTAACATAATAGTTAATACAAATGTAGCGTATTTAGTATGTGCATTCTTCTGAAAGTTTACAGCTATATATGTACGTTTAGTTTATTTCGCACCATACAAAACCAACAGTGCTAATCGGAGGTTTGGGAAATCACAGACGAAGCCCGAAGTAATTGCACGTCAGGGTTAATGTCGCCATGTCTCGTCCCAATTAAGTCATTGGCAGTGTAAATGTTCTAATTCGGACCATGACGTTGGCACACAACGGTCTACTCCTTTGGAATGATGTTACGGGGGTATTTAACTGGCACTTGCAAAATATTTCACGGTAAAAATTAATACCGCAGTCAAAACCCAGGATGGTGTGGCGGATCCCAACCCCACGCTGAGTCATCATGCTAAATTTTTTGCATTTCTGCACTGGCGGCTGTGCGAGGCCGACGTGGTTTGTGACAGTGTTCCTCCTGTATCTCGTCATTCCCACAGACGGCTCGGGGATGCCTTGGAATGAGAGAATATTCTCAGGGAGCTACCCGCTCCACGAGGCGATCGCCACTCACGACCCCACCTTGGTAGACTTCGTCTCTAGCTGCCTATGGTAAGAACCCCCCCTGCTCTTGTCACTCTCCTCCAAGAGACACCCATAGAGTCACGAAGATTTACATAGAGATCCATAGTCACAACAATAACAACAACAACCGCCATTCGCCACTAAGTGGCGGTGACATCACCACGACGCTTGTGCCAGGCCATGTGCACCTTGAGGCTACGTGAAGTGTCGAACGCCCGCTGGCAGGAGGTCACGGGACAGACCCAGGTGCCACGGGTCGACTGACTGAGATGACTGAGATGACTGGCTGATGCACCACCTGTGCCCCCTACTGTGCCAACTTGCTGTGCTTTAGCCACCCAGCGCTCCGCTCGTTGTTGTGAGCGTCGCTCCTCCGCGCTCCGTTGTTGCTGGAGGGCGACTGCCTCCAACTGCCCAGCAGCGTCCTTCACGAGCCTCTTCCACAGAGGCCGATCTTGACACCGCTGGTACCGGTCTTCAGCAAGTCCACTCAGCTCCACATCCTCCAGTCCTGCATCAGTCCATCTCTAATCCAGCCCATTTCTTGCCCTTTTAGCCCTCTAACTGGACAAACAGAAGCAGCTTGGGCATGCGGTGGTGGGGCATGAGGGCTACATGACCCAGCGAATGCAGCGTTGCCTGCTGGAGGAGCTAATTGATGGGACTGTGTCCAGATCTTTCAAGGATTTGTGAGCCCCTCACACAATCCAGCCTGGTTAAACCAAGGATGGATTGTAGAGAGGCCAGCCTAAATGTTTCAAACCAGCGCAGATGTTCCATGACAGGGGTCCACATTTCACAAGTATAGACAGCCGATTAATATATAATGCTGCCTGACTGATTCAGAGTGAGACCTCTGCTGTCAAACCGGAGCTGATCATAAGCACACTGCCCAGATCTAGAAAACTCTCCACTTTCCACTCTCTACACTCCATTGTATATACACACTTGCACACACTTGCACACTTGTAGCCTACACAGAATATGAGGTCAAGTGCGCACCTATGAAGAACGGTACTGCACACAAGGGAGGTGGTGTGACCAGAGCCATGGCCGGCTGCCTTCGTCTCCCCCGTGCTGACGTTCACTACATGCCACACCAGGTTCTCGTATTCATCTGAATCTAAGTAAGTTGGTACATTTGTAAATGCGCAACTATTATAAGCCAGGTGATCACGAGAAGCGCACAGGAAGATGGGGAATCGGTTGTGATGTTTGCTGTTGCCATTCTTAACCGTGAGATTGACTCGATCTCGGCTCGCCAGGTCCGGAACGTGGTGCGCTATCCTCTATGTGAGCGCCAATGCCTCATCAGTTTTTTCTGTCGCAGTTGTTGCCCCTGCTGCTCGCACCCGTCGCCCTCATCATCGTCCTCCCCGTCGTCGTCGTTGCCGCACAGCGACCCGGCGTCCCGTCTGGCGGCCGCCCGCAGCGGACATCCCCATACTTCCAGACCCTCGCCGTGGCCGACTTACAGTGCCAGCGCCCCGAGCCGGCCTCCCTGAGCTCGCGGGAGGATCTCGACCACTGGTAAAATAGTCATGGCCAGCCCAAGTTCGAGTGCGCGGCCTCCCTTCTTACAGTTGGCCCAACTCCGAATTGGAGCTGGAGCAAACATCCCCAAGTCAGCAGCCTCTCACCACCGGTGTGACAGTTCAGAACTGGTTTCTACTGCATTGCACACAATACCTGCTTGACGACTCGATGTGTTATCGCGGCTACGATGCACCACTCTGCTACTCCTTACGCAATCATCTGGCTCGATCACCTCTATCCAATCAGAGCGGTCTACATCAGCCGCTTGTACTGCCATCCACGCGCCCACCACTCGCTCTGCCTGTCGATTACCTTCAACCCAATGGCTTTGAATACACCACACAATCTCATTGACTCTGGGAGAGTAAGCAGGCCTGGGCTTAGTGCTTAGATGGGAGACTCCCTGGGAATACCGGGTGTTGTGGGCTTAGGCCACCAGATGACTAGTCGAAGGCGTGCATCGATGGATTCTTGATTCCATCTATCCGTATCATTGAGGTACATCCTTGTCATATGCATGGCGTTCTACTTGGTACCGTTTCTTCCCACATGCACCACTCCATTCAATTGGCCAAACATTCCAATTTAGCGGGAGCCTCCTGATAATGTCTTAAGACTCAGTAGGGCTCTCCTGGGTAAACAGAAGGCAGCTTTCACATTTTGTTATTATCGGTCACCCTTTAACCCTTGTCTCTACACACCAACCTGCAACATGTTCAGAACTCATCCAGCTGACTGTTCATCAACCCACCCTGGCCACCTGCTTCCCATCAGCTGTTCCCTCACTTGGCCATTCGTCCGAATGGAGGCAAGGGTTGATCACTGGGGAGACAGAGTGAGCCGGGCCTAGTTCTGGCCACCCACTCCGTGCTGGCCACTTCACCCCCTCATGTGCCGTCCCGGCCTTAGCAGATGTTCGCTCGCAACATTTGCCCCGGCGGTCTCTTGAGGCGATGGGAGGGATCTCTGTCCTCTTGAGTTGGTGACCGAGCAATTGTTTGAGTGACGCGGCTCTCTGCCCACATGTCGCCACCACAGAGCGCGGGTCGCATGGCCCAAGACTCGGGCGATCTCAGCCTCACGGTCGCGCACGGGGAGCCAGAAGGAAACCCCAATGAGGACGTGGAACGTATTGGCGACGTCCTCTTTGGAACAAATGCCCTCCACTTCCACTCCCATCACTTCTCAGTTTCCTCATTCCGAGTGTGGCAATATCTGACAACTCCTGTGTTTTCACTGTCCCCAATTAGACTGTCAAGAAACTGCCACTCCCCAAATGCAGGATACTGCAGCATGCGTCAAAAATAAAATCCATTCCAGTCATTCTCAGCACAACGGATGAAGGCCCTTCCCGTACGTCGCGTTAACAATGGGGGTCATTTGATAATATTTCACCACGCTGGTGAGTGCGAGTGCAAAATTATTCCCGGTGTAGCGATCCGGAGCGTTCCGACTGAAAGTAAACATTGAGCATCGCGATGGAGAGAAAGAGCAGTCTAATCACGGGAGAAGAAGGCGCGATGAAGGGACCACTCCTACCCCTTGTAGAAAGCCACCCTCCCTTATCACGCTTCTTAATACTTCTCCACTGTTCCAGGCGGCGTGGGCCAGGTCTTCACGAACCGGCTACCCTTATGCCGCCCCCTGCTGGCGTGGGGTGGCGACGCCTGCTCATCACCCAAATTCGGAGGCCTCATTCCCCGCCGTTCTGGCCTTAGTGACGGAATATGGAGGTGCTTCGGGATACAAATTAAATGTAACTAAATCGGACTTGATGCCCCAAATAAGTTCTCAAGAAATGAGTTTTCAATCTAGATGATTTAAAAGTGTATCGCTCCAGTGGCTTCCTAATATCGGAAGCGCATCTGAAAGCGTGTGATGTGCTGAGGCCAGAGCACAAATAATCATCCCCATGCAACATGGCCACCATGATGCAGTCCCCCATGCAACATGGCTACCATTAAGTCCCCCATACAACACTGCCAACATGAAGTCCCCCATGCAACTTGGCCACCTGGATATCACTCATGCATCATGGCCGCTATGAAATCTTCAATGCATCATGGCCACTGTGACATCCACCATGCAACATGGCCATCGGGATGTTCCACCATTCACCATGGCCCTCTGTGACATCCCTCATTCCTGTTCTTACCTTGCGGTGATTTGATGCAGATGGTGCCCTCTGAGGACAGCGCCCTCCACGTGGTACAAGATTCGCCCTTATTCCTCGCCTCTCCAGATTGGCTCATCTACACGCACACAAAGACAAAGGTCCACCACATAGGCTTTAGCAAGATGTGGGGGATAGTGCAAGCGGCAAGCACTGAGCCAGGATCTCTGAGATCCTGGGCTCCACATTCAGGAGGGTCCTGCTGAGATGTCAGTTCTCAGCGTTCGGATATTTGGCCAATGTCAGATGTCACACTTGGATTAACAATGAGACACGTGTGTATTTAAAGGACACACGCAGGTTAATGGCATCCTTCAAACTGTTAAGAGAAGTAGGGCTGGGCCAGGACATGCCACGGCCACGAGGAACAACGATGGCTGATGGTCAAGAACAATAACGGAGGTGCAGCCAAGTATCGGAACACGTCTGAGAGGACGGCTGCTAGAAAGATGGAGCGACAAAATCGGTGCTTGGTGGATTATTCCATCGCAAGATCGTGAGGGGTAGCAGGGTCTCAAGGAAGGAGGCCTTTATCCAGTAGTGGATAGATAAAAGTACGTTTAACACGTAGGCTTTCGCGACCAATGTTATTCATAATCAACGTTTTTGGGTTTAGATCGCGTTATTTATAAATGTGTCGTAACCCTCCACCACCCGACACGGCCAATCAGTAAAAAATGTGTCACGTTGACAAAGACAAATAGTTCACTGCTTTAGCCCACCGGTGTGTTGAAGCCACAACATTTACAATTTGAGTACGACGTTTCGCTGGTAATTGCAACCACCACGGCGCCTGTGCCAGGCCAGGTGCACTTTCAGGCCACACGAAGTGTCGAAGGCTCGCTGACAAGACGTCACGGGACAGACCCAAGTTCCAAAGGTTGGCTGAGATGCTTGGTAGATACACCAGCTGTATGCCCAACTGTGCCAACTTGCCGAATTTTATCCGCCACTCGTTGTGAGCGTCACTCCTCTGCCCTCAGTTGTTGTAGGAGGCAGTCTGCCTCCAACTGTCCAGTAGCCTCCTTCACGAGCTTCCTCGTGAAGGATGTTATTTACACCACTGGTACCAGTCTCTCACAAGTCCACTCAACTCAACATCCTCCCATACAGCATCAGTCCATATTTTCGACAGCCCATGTCGTGGCCGTTTAGCCCCCTTTATGCGGCCAAAAAGAAACTGCTTGGGTATGCGGGCTACAAGACCCAGCCAACGCAGCCTTGCCTGCCGGAGGAGCTTACTGGTGGGAATGTGTCCAGATCCTTCAAGGATTTGTGAGCTCCTCACACAATCCAGCTAGGTTAAACACAGGATGGATCGTTGGAACCACCACAGACACCACCACCAACACCACTAACACCATCAACATCACCACCAACAACACCAACAGCACCACCACCAACACCACCAACAACACCAACAGCACCAACATCAACACCAACAACACCACCATCAACACCACCATCAACACCACCAACAACACTACCACCAACACCACCACGAACATCAAAGATAAAGATCCCCCTTATAGCTGAAATAAACTGTTGGGGCAAGTGCTGTTAGCCAGCATCACCTATGAAGGCCGGAACAGCACACGAGGGCGTGGGTGGCCAACACCGCGCCTTTGTCTCCGAGTGGCGATATTTACACACCACACCAGGTACTCATTTGAGGCTGAGTCGACCTAGGGGAGGCCCAGGACCGGTTCATATAATCGTCACTGGTGTTGACAGCGCGTTAACCACTCCACACACACACAGACTCACACACGGATACAAACACACACGGACTCACACAAACACAGACTCACACCACACACACAGACTCACACCACACACACAGACTCACACCACACACACAGACTCGCACCACCGCACCACCCACCCACAGCGAGGATCCACTCCTCACCTTCGCCAGAGTCTCTCCCCGCCTCTCTCACGGACCAACTGCCAGGGGGAAGCGCGTGGCTCGAGACGAGGGGGCGGTACCAGGTGACCACGCCCACCGAGACGTGGAGCCCTGAGCCCCTCGCCCCGCCCCCCCCCATGCCCACCCCCTCGCCCCGCCCCCTCTCCCCCGCCCCTCCCCCCGCCCCTCTCTCCCCCGCCCCCTCTCCCCCGCCCCTCCCCCCGCCCCTCGCCCCGCCGAGGCTGGGGCGAGTGGAGGCAGCGCTGTGCATTGTGGGTGGCGAGCGGCTGATTCGGATTCCCGCTCGCGGCCACCGTCGCTGCTGAAGCGGCGGCTCGCTGGCTGGTCCTCCTCTACATCGACTCAGCCCGAACAAGGTGAGAACCTTGCACGGTGTGGACACATCAGCAGTGGCGGTGGTGGAGAGGGGAGGCAGAGGAGGCGCCTGGCTCACAGCCGTTACGCTCTGGGCGCCTGCTGAGTTCACGGCGCTGCTCCCAGCAGAGCGCGGCCTGCTGCTGCTGATGATGAGGAGAGGCACTGCCAGATTGTGGCTGATGGGATGAGTTACATTTAGTTCTTTTGTATCTGGAGGGACGGATTTGTTGTCGTGGCAGAAATGGCCTCCACTAGAGGCCGCGATGTGGGGTATTTGGTCTACTCTTCCACGCTGGTCCAGACCCGTTGGAGCGAGGTGGGTGTACCCACAACTTTACCCTCCACACGCGGGGGGCGTCAGCTCACTGCACTTGCAATGCAGAGGTGCAGGTTCGAGTCCATTTCACACTCACCCCGAACTATATGCTGCCATAGACAAACCCAGCGTTAAATTATATACTGTATTACTATACACCACCCTATACCTTAGAATAATACATAGTCTAATATTACACTATGTATTATTCTATCCACCCTACTGTATATCACACTGCTGTATATTCACT